CTCAAAGCATCTGCCTAGCAGGAATTCAAGAGCACTGCACGTGCCTGTATAGGTGGTCCAGTTCCCTACTGTGGGATGGACCCCCATGGCATATTGGAAAATCCTTTTACTTTCTGGATTTGTACTGCACTTAAAATGTACCCTTGCGAGGATCTGCTTAAATAAAGTCTTCACTGTTCTTACTTTGCCTCCCTGTAGCTGCCAGGAGTCTTGTAAAATAGTCTTAATCCAGTGTTTTATGTGCTCACTGGCAAAAGAGTGGCTGAGCCTGCTATAGGGAAGGGACCTCTTGGAACAAGGTTCCAGCCCTATTTTTTCTCTTTCTCTCCCTTTTCTTCCCTTGATGTAGCCAGTGAGTCACCAGTGACAAAGTCTTAATTGCATGTGATGATGAATGAGATGCCCTACAGGTAATTGCTTGGTCTTTGGTGCCTTCACATCCATTCATTATAGAGGATAAGGGTGGGGAGAAAGCTGGTGGACTCTGATGTTGCTTGTGAATGCTGTGGCCTGGCTCTGAGGTGTATGACTAGAACAGCCATGCCAATTAACTCAAATTACCATCTGCTTCAGAGGAGGGGGCAGGCTTTAGCCTTTCTTCCCCCTTAGACCTAGCTGTGAAAATGCCCGACTGCCACCTTTCAGCACAAGCCTCAGGCTGTGCTCTCCGCCTGCCTCCCGTGATTTTTTTTTCCCCTTTGTCTCCTTTGTGTTTGTGGGTTTTTGCCCTGGTCGCTCACGCACCTCACCTCGCTGCAGCGCACGCCTGCCCTGCGGGCTCACGCTGCTGCTGAAGGAAGGGGAGGTGGGGCTGGTGGGGCTGCAGGAAGGTGTCTTGACTTGACTGAGGTGAAGCACGGCCATGGGGAGTTGTGCTGCTGCAAAATGCTGGAGGAACAGCTGGTCCCGGCAGAGGAAGCAGGAGGCTGGCGTTAGCACAGGCTGGCACTCAGGCTGTGCCAGCTGTGCTCTTTAGCACCCTGCCTCCTCTGCTCACCTGGGCTTCCACCATCGCAGGTGGCCCCAGACTGGTGCTTTGAAGGGGGCTGCCTCGTGTGGCACCACCTGTGTGTGGTGGAGCAGATGTCTCTGCGTCGATACCGGGATTCCTGCAAGATCAGAGGGGAGAAAGCTGCCTGTCACAGCTACCCTTCCTTGCCATCTGAAGCTCCCTCTGTTCGCTGGTTGACTGCCATCTCTCAAGAGCAGAGCTCCTGCTGCTGGGGCTGTGCACAACCAAGCAGTCAGCTTCTCATCTTTCTCTGGCTGGAAGAGGTTGCTCAAATGGCTTTGCAGGCATTGCTTCCTCAGCCCCTCTTACCCCTGCCCAGCAGCTTGGACTTGGACTGCGTGGGGAGGGATGGTAGCCTGGGTCTAAGTCAGTGCTTGTCCTTCGGTTCTGTGGCATAGCTGAGCACTGGACCAAGGGAACTGGCTCCCTTCTTGCTGGAAGACAGATGAGTGTGAGAGCACGTGGGTACAACGTCTCTAGCTAACCTCTCTGTGTCTGAGGGCAGCTAAGGCATGTGCTGCTTCCAAAGAGGAGCTGTCACAGTGGTGTTTATACCTGGGATGGTTTTTGATCTCAGGTATGCAGGAGAACAGGGTTTACTATTCAGAGGCTGCTGTTTGGGTCATAGGACCTGCTGGACTGGGTGGGAGCTGAGACCCATCAAGTCCAAGAGTCCTTCTCCAAGGTGGGCAAATACTACAGCTTCAGGAGAAGGTGTGAGAAGTAGGAGGATCTGAGAATAAAATACACTTCTAAACTTTGTTCTTAACCTTCAGTTGTACCTGTAGAGTACAGCAACACTAAATTCCTTCCCTTTTTCTGCTTGACAGGTGGATTTTTCCACTGAGCAGGAGGGTCTCACCCCAGCCTGCTTGCTCCTGTGGCAGTGGGAATGGCCCTGTTCCCTTGCCCCAGCACCTGTAGCTGCCTGCTCCTGGTCGTGACAGGGACAGTGTGTGGGAGTTCAGCTCAAGATCATTGTGGACCTTGAAGCCTCTTGATCAATACTGAGATAGTGCTGAGCTCATGCCTCTGAAATTCTGGAGTGAGTGAGGGCTTCAAAAAATTACAGGATTGATTAAAGGTCAGGAGACTTGCATTCCCCCTAGCCCCCAACATGTTTTTGCCCTCTTATTTGAGCTCTATAGTGTCAGATCTTTGTGTGTGTGTTCTGTAGCCGCTGAGTAATGGGACGGAGGTATTGGCAAAGAGTAAGAGTCTCTGTCTGGATGGTCTCAAAGAAGCCCATAGAGGAAAACAACACACTTGAAGGGCCGTGGAGGCTGGTGAGCTGCAGTTGCAGATAACTATAAAAATGGTTCATTCTAGAGTGGGATAATGTCTGCTCTGTGTTTTCTTCCTCAACTGTAATAAGTTCCTCTCACTGCAACCTCTATGCCAAGCATAGATGCTGTAGTATGAAGGACTGCCTGCCTCCCTGCCACCCCCAGTGTCCCCCAAGGGCAGGAGAGGCCTGTTTGCCCGCACCCATCTGAGCATCCTTTCTCTGCCCCTTGTGCTCCCTTCACAATTGCACTCTATAAGCTTGTACGTGTTTTCTGTTTCAGAAAAGGGATCGAGAACCTCCTTATCTCTGAGCCACCACCTCCCTGACTGCTTTAGTGCTTGGCAGGCTGTGCTGAAGTGCTCTTTGGGCGGTGAAGACAGCTGGAGAATGCTGGTGACTGGGCACTCGGGCTGCAGTAGGAGGGGAGATGCTGGCAGAGGGCACGGTAAAGCACACTCAGAGCGTGCCAGGCCAGGGATGCCTGTGGTCATGGTAATACCCATGCACTCCAGCAGCCACCCTTGCTAGTGAGCCGCCCTTGCTCCAAGCTGAAACCTCTGGCACCTCTCTGATGAGCTGTTCCTATTACATGCAACTGGCCGACTCGGCTCTGTGTCATGTTTCCCCTGCACTGGGACTGCAGCAGCAGCAGGAGGATTTTTGACCTGCCCAGGGTAGATGGAGACATGCCTCTGGTGTCCCATGAGCTCCAAAGATTACTTTTAAGGCTGCTTCTTCCCTCCTTAGGGGCAGTTTGCTGTGGTGAGCGTCTCACCGGAGAGAGGTTGACTTGCAGTTGTGTGCAGGCATCATCTGTTTTGGGCAGGGGGTTGAGCCAGCAGTGAGACCAGGGAAGACCGCTCTGGAACTGTCGGCAGTGGAAGAGGGGAGAGCAGGACTAACTCTTGTGGCCAGGACTTAATTTTCTTGCTGAAGACTGGATGAGTAAAGGGAAATGGGCTCCTACTGCCAAATCCTGCGTGTATTTTGGCAAACTCGGTCTGCTAATGCAGAAGTTTTCTTTAGTCGTTTATAGGAACATAAGTTGCCTTTGACATACCTACACGAGGTGTTATCTGCTCTGCCTTTTGTCTTCCAAAGGGATCAGTCCCTTGTCAGAGCCAGAAGAACCCTTTCTTTCATCCACCCAACCCACCTGCCTCCTCCTGCCCCTGTTGTAAGGCTCCTGTGCCACTTTTGAGAGCCTTCCCTGGGGACGGGCAGTGCTCTCTTTAGCTGTGCAGCCTTCCCTGGTTAGGGACTTCCAGCCATTTAATGTTCCCTTCAAAGCTGTGTTTTTTTTTTTATTCCAAGTGTTTTCTTCTCGGTGGATACATTTCAGCATTGAGACTTTTGTTGCAAGTCAGATCCAGCCATTTAATGTTCCCTTCAAAGCTGTGGGTTTTTTTTTTATTCCAAGTGTTTTCTTCTCTGTGGATACATTTCAGCATTGAGACTCTTGTTGCAAGTCAGGTTATGTCTGGGAGAACCATACCAGCTGGAGTCTGTCACCTTGGATGATGCTGTCTGGGAGCAGAAGGGGGTTCCTCTGGCAAGGCGGAGGCTGGCATGCTGCCCGTGGCTTCAGTCCTGTCCCTGACCCTGTGCCTGTATCTGCAGAGGCCAGGCTTCCAGCTCGTGTATGTGAAAAAGGGCAGTGGCAGGTGAGGTGGATCTCACTGCTGTCCAAGTGTCTGGTCCAGGAGTGGATCTCCTGCTATGAATTTGAATTCTTCATTGGTAATGGGCAGGACTGTGTCAGTTCTGATTTATTTATTTTTTTAAATAAATTGTTTTCCTGGTTGAGGCTCTGTCAGCTTCCCCTAGCTAAGTGCAGTGTCCCTTGTTGGAGAGCAGTGTTCCGTGCTGTAGCCCATCGTGTGGCAACTGAAATGACTGTTGTGGGTGTAAAAGTTAGAACAGTATCAGGGAAAAGGTTGATTAGCTCATCCTCTGTCTTACTGGTCGTGTACAGAACAGCAGCAGAGGCTTATCCTGCCAGGAAAGCTCTTGAGCCGCCTTCCTGGTCCGAGTTGAGCTGTTCTGGGGAAGCTGCTGGGGTCTGCTTGCCCCTTCTCCCACCCCGCCTCTGCCCGGCTGCTTGTGCTCCGCTCTCCCATGGGAGCCCCCGCCTTGCCGGCCCTGCCTGGCTCTCTGGGTCTGCAGATAGCTGGGGTGCCTGCTGGTGGCCCTCAAGCGTTTGCTGAGAAGCAGCAGCATGTCTGGAGCCATCGTTTTTGCCTGAGCAGAGGAAAGGGGCATTGCTCCCCTCTGCCAGCCCCGCCGTCCTCTGTGCCAGGGGCTTGCTGGGTGTTTGCGCCTGGGGTGGGGAAGGTGAGCCCTCCCAGGTTGGTGATGAGAGGAGGGAGAGGGCTGTTTTGGTTTTGTGGGCCTCCAGGGCGTGAGTCAAGGTGGCTCATACAGGGCTGCATGGGGAAGGGTCAGCGGTGCAGGCGCCGAGGCTGGCAGGTTGGGTGCTGCTTTGGCAGAAAGAGCAGCGTGTGCTCCAGCCTTCGCTGCCCACGCCTTTTGTGCTTTTAGAGGGATGGCTAATGAAATTAGCTCTGCTGGAAGGCTTTGCCAGCCTGAACCACCCCTGTGCATCTTGTGACAACGCGATAAAAATTAACTGGGCCAGAAAGTGCCAGCTGTCCGTGGCTTTGAAATGGTCTCACGTGCTCTTCATCCCTCTCATTCAAGGTGCGAGTCTGGCGTTACCTGAAAGGCAAAGACATCGTCACTCATGAGATCCTCCTGGATGGTGGGAACAAGGTGGTTATCGGTGGCTTCGGGGACCCATTAATCTGCGACAACCAAGTCTCGACTGGGGACACGCGGATTTTCTTCGTCAACCCTGCCCCGCAGTACATGTGGCCAGCACACCGCAACGAGCTGATGCTCAACTCCAGCCTGATGCGGATAACGCTGCGCAACCTGGAGGAGGTGGAGCACTGTGTGGAAGGTGAGGCTGGAGCGTGGGTGCCTGGCTTTCCCCGGGGCGCTCCGAGTATGCGGATGCGGCAGTGGCCAAGCCCTGGCTCCGTTGGCCGCCTTGTGCTCTTAGTTTGTAAATGATTGATTGGCACATGATCTTGCTGGGGATGAGGTGGATCAGTCCTGCTGTTTTACATCTGTCTAGGGTAGAGTCATACCGCTCTGTGGACCCCCTTGCCAGGTCCTGTCCCTGTCACATTGACCTTGCTATCAGAGGCAATGGTTGCAACCAAGGTACAGCCAAGCAAAGTTATTTTATGTTGGTTTTGCTCCAGATTTGATGCAGATTGTCAGTCCCCTCTACAAGGAGTCTGATGTGGTTGGGAGCATCCCCACTGCAAGTCCTGTCCCAACACGAGCATGTGGTAGGCACTTAGCAGGGAATTCAGACTCCTCACAACTGAGTTGGATTTTCCTGTAGATTTAGAGCTAATAAATTAATGAGTTAATCCTGTGGTGAAGGCCTGTCCTTTATGGTAGTCACCCCTAGCTTCATCTGTCTCAGAGCTTCCTCGCTTGCTAAGTCAGCCTTGCAGACTCCTGTAGGGATGCGAGAAGCCAGCTGAATTCTGCCTGGGGGTGTAATGCTTGCTTCTCCAAGGGGTAACGAAGTCAGAACCAAGCTGAGCAGCTGAGTGATTTTTGGAGGGTATGGGTTGTGCTTTTATATTGTGGTTAAGCCCTGTATCCCTTGCACATCAATCTCTTTGGTCCTTTGTCTCTGCTCCCAAAAGAGCTCAGATGAGGTGGGTTGTCATGTTGTGCTGTGCTCGTGCAGTATGTGTGCACCGTGTTGATGCTCTGCACAGGGACTGTGGGCTGACTTGTAGCTGTCTGTGGGACAATGTGAGGAGTGCTGACATGCCCATGCCAGGGAGGGTGGCTGAGTTACTAGTGCTGCTGTGGGTATAACAACATAGCTGTTGGGAAGAGCTGAGGGGCAGACAGTCCATATGTGCTCTTTAACAGGGTCTTAGACCTCCAGGTGTGGAGGTGTGCCTCTATGGAGAGCAGATCTGGAGAGGATTGATCTTTCTTCTCTACTTGTTGCCCAACCACCTTGAAAACATACTTGTCTAAGAACCCGGTCACCGGCTTCTCTCTTCGCTCTTTTGCTTGTCCTGTGTTCCAGCAAGAGCTCCGAGCTCATGGGGGAATGTGGTGCCCCAAAAGCCCTTTGCTGGGGTCTGAGTATGTCCTGAGAGCAGATGAGTAAACAAGGGAAGGAATGCAGGAATTCTGCACAGACAACAAATAAACATGCAGATTGGCTCCCTCCTCCCCTTGGACGTGCAGAGGAGAGGCCATAACCCCTTTTTCCAGCTGTGAATGCTGACAGAGGTAAATGACCGAACTCTGGGCCTGGGAGAGAGCTAGTTCAGCAAAGTGGCTCACAAGAGGCACCCATCTCGAGTGGCTTTTCTAAGAGGGAGGGACACTGGAGGTTTTCTGCCTGTATATATGCGTTCCGTCTTGCACTTGAAAGGTATTGGTCCTGCTCCTTCCTTGCACCTGGTGGAGAGGGAGGGAGGAGAAAGAGTGAGTGTGTCTGGTGGTTTTTGTTAAACCTGAGCAAACATTTGGAAGAATTCTGTCTTCATGCGGTTTGCCGTGCTCTTTGGCGTGCTCATTTTGCACACACTGGGTGTGAGCTGGGGTGGTTCCTGTTTGTGGTGAAGGATGTTGTCCCTTAAGGCCCCTGGGAGATGATGAGAGATCTAATTTTCCTCCTAATGCTATAGATTGCATGTAGGATTTATCACTGGGACCCGTTCCTGCTTTCACTTTTAGTGGGGGAAGATTCAAAATTGCGTTGTTGGTGTAATGGGTTACAGCAATCTGTGTCGGGACTGGCCGTGTTTGGTGAGTGGGACTGGGACCTGCTGCAACTGGGGACACATCCTAGCCACAGACAGCTGTTCTTGCAGAAGGTGGTGATAGGACTGTCGTTCCCAGGTGCTGTACCCTGCGGCTGTACCGGTGTCCTGGTCCCAGGAGGGGAGAGGGGCGAAGTGCCTGTGTGCACCAAGCTGTGGGTGGATGTGTCTGTCTAGAGGCATACCCTCTGATGCAGTACCATAGGGAGGATTTGCTCGGTGTTGCTCTCATGCTGTTGTGCAAGGGAGTTGAAGGTGCCAGAGCTGGGCATGTCTGAACTCTCTTTCTCCCTCCTGTGTGCTTAAATTGCAGGTCCAAGCAGATATTGGTGGGTTTATCTTTCCTCCCTGCTATAGTAACTTTTCCTGATGTCAGGTAGCAGATGATTCTTTCTGGGACTCCCCTCTTCACTGGAGATCGTTTGCTGCATAGCTTGCTTCCTTTAACTAATTGGACCCCTCTTTCTGGTGGCTCACCAGGATGCTGTTGGCATGCAGAGGTAGAGTCAGCCTGCCTGGATGGTGGCCCCAGGCCAGCAGGATGGTATGGGGAGAGTGGGGACAGGAGAGGGCTGGAAAACAGCCTGCAGACAACTCACCAGGTGTGGTGGACCTGATTGATCCAAACTGATGGAGACCTGTCCAGACTGTCACTGAGAAATGACAAAAACAAGGCAACCTTGACTTACTAAGATTGCAGGTAGGTCAAAAAGTCTTGCTCGAGGGAGATACAGTGATTCTTATTTTGGCATCTGCCTGACTTAGCTGTTTCACTTGCCTTGATTAAACCCACCTTTCTTGTCTTGTCCAGTGGACTTGCTTTTCTTCCCACGTCTTGGAAGCCTGGTTGTTGTGAGTGTCCTGTCTGCTAGGTGCTAGCAGATTTGCTGTAGACAGCATAGAACAAACTAACCCCCAAAACCTCGATTTCCCTCAAGCCCTACCCAAAGCTCAGGCCTCTCCTGAGCTCTACGAAAAGTCCCTTTTGGCTTGCCCTTGCTTTGCTGGCTTCTGAGAGGCCATGCAAAACCAGCCATGAGAACCTGCTGCTGCCACCCTGGGAACTGTTTCTGAGCTCCAAGTCTGAGAATTTAGCTCCAGGACTTGTTTCCCATCAGCTCCTCACAGGAGGGTTCAAAGCAAAGCTGCCCAGAACACTGCTCTTTGCTGCACTTTGAGTTTAAAAACAAACCTTCGAGTGCTTTTGCAGAAAGAATTGGAAGAATGGTGGCAGCTGAGTGGAAAAACATGAATGTTTTGAGTATCTTCATCTCCTGTCGCTCTGGCTTGGAAAAATCCTAGACATCAAAACCTTTCCTGTCTAAGAGTGGAGTTCAAACCAGGGCATCTCTGCGAAACAGCTCAGGTTAGAGTAAAAATCTTGTGATTTTGTTACACTTAATTGTAACAAAAATGCTTTGACCAGCTGTAGTCAAAATGCAAGACTTCAGCTAAGCTCTGCAAACTGGCTCAGTGCTGAGGGGCCTGGAGGGGAGCTTTTTGGTGCTGAACAGCAGAGGAGCAGCTCTGGGGCTTGTGCAGGGGGCTGGGATGCAGACTTGGAGCGGGTCCCTGGGTGAAGGAGGATGTTTGCTTTGGTGCCTCTTGGGGGGAACGCATGGATGTGGAAAAGGAGCTGGCTCCCAGCAGCACGCAGTGCTCTGTAGCACTGGCAGTGGATTTCCTCTTCAAGACATCTGGATGAGGCTTGTTTTCCGGGGAAGGAATTAGTGTGATCAGCTGCAGCCTTGCTGTGTTTGTGCCTCGAATGCTGGTACTGCATGGAGAGGGCTCGAGCCACGGCGCCAGAGCTCCCCAGGGCACACTACCAGCATGCTCCGTGCTAGGTGCTCCTTGCTCTCCCTGACAACGCCATCAAGCATGCTCTTCTGGAGTTCAACAGCTGACTAATCCCGGAGAGAGCTTTCCCCTGCGTGTGTGTGTCATGTTTCACTTTGATCACAACTGCACTTGAAGAAAATCAAAATTTTTGTGTATGGTGTGGGAGGGGCTGTGTGGTGACTCCATACTGAGCTGTCTGGGTGGAAGGAAGTTCAGATTAAACCTTTGTTAGGGCCTTGGTTAATGAGAACCCAGAGCTCCTCTTAAGTAGTGCCTTGCTTGTGGCATGGTTTGCATAAATGCTGGTGCAGTTGCCCCAGCTGAGACTGCCCTGCTGGCTTTGGAGATGTGCGTGGACTTCGAACCTCCTGGGAAAAGCCACGTACATTGGCTTTACAAGTGCAGCGCGTAGTGAGACCTGGTAGTGTTGGGTGCTGTGTGTCACCCAGCCTAGCAACTGGAGGGGGCTGACAGTGGCCCGGGTGCAGCTGCAAGGCTGACGTGCAGCCTTGGGAACTCTTTTCCCTATAGATGCCCATAATAAAGCTACGCTGGCTTGTGTTCAGCATGCAGTGTGCTGCAGATGCTACATATGTTTAAAAATGTCACTTAGCTCTTACTGGAATTCTGAATCTAGCCAGTCCGGAACTCTCCTCTGGCTTTTCACCTCTGTGGCAACCCTATTAATTACTCCTGTAGAAGAATTGCATCCGGTCCTGCAGCCTCAGTTCTCCTGGGTCTACTTGGGAGCGGGACCGCTTTGAAAGCATCTCCCTCTAAGTTAGACCGTCCATTCTATTTTGTCTTCTGCCTGTTCACTTTCATTCTGTCCTCTCTCTCTTTGTAGGTCTCTGCCTCCATAGAACTGAGACGTTTTGTTCTTGTAAACCAGCCCATGCAAAATTTTCTTTTCAGGCTCCTTACAGAGGCTGTAAGGCACGCACAGTAGGCTCCTCTCAGAAAGGAAATTGCTGGCATGGGTTTGTGTTAGGTGATTTGGGCTGTGGTCACTTCCCATGCTCTGGTCTCTCTGCAGCCCTTCTTTACGGCTGCAACTATTTCTTTTTAATCTATCCCTGGCATTTCATTGTGCTTTAGAACAGGCAAGGGAGGGGGCTGGAAGAGGGTTAGTGTGTGGGTTTCTTCTTAAAGAAGGCTTTTTTCCTTCCCTCCTCTTCTTGGCTCTGTTTTGAATTCAAGATAATGAGAACAGCATCAACACCTCCGTCTCGGGAGGGTGAGAGAGTTA